TGATGTGAATGTGTTGGGTCCATAGAGTGGATAGCTGTTTGGATGTCTGCTACATATAGTGTAAGCATTGTGACTGCAAATAAACCTCATTGATTTTTACCTCCACGCCTCGCCAGCTCCTCTCTCACCGTCCACTCAGTAGTGTTTAACATGTTTACATGTGAAGAACCTGCAACGTCATGTATGATATAAACCATCATCTCTACACCTTCATCCTCACTAGGGTCATGGGGGGTTGGAGCCTATCCCAGCTGACTCAGGGTGAAGGCAGGTTCACCTGGACAGGTAACCAGTCTATCACAGGGCTACACTTAGAGACAGACAACCAAGCACACTCACATTCACACCTACGGACAATTTACAATCACCAATTAACCTCAGCATGTTTCTGGACTGTGGGAGGAAGCCGGAGAACCCGGAGAGAACCCACGCTGCACGGGGAGAACATGGAGACTCCACGCAGGAAGATCCCGGGTGTCCTCACCGGGACAGCAACCGGACACCTTCTAGCTGTGAGGCGGTAACGGTGCTAACCACTGACCCACCTGCAGCCCTAAAACTGACCAAATAAGGTTTAATATTAACGTTCAGGTGTCTGTGAAGATTCATCCAGGTCCTGGTTCTTCTGGTAGATGAATGGTAGCAGCTGGACCTGCATGAGGTCCTTGAAGACGTTCCACCTTCATCTAAGAGGCTTCATCAGCTCTGACTGACTGGTTCTAGATACTGATATCCTTCATCCTCAGTAACGTCCTCACGTCTTCAAGCAAGTCCAGAAGCCGTCTAACTGGAGAGACCATCCTCAGCAGAGGTGGAGGTCTGAGGCATCAGTTCAGTCCTCAGATCTCTCCAAGGAAGATGAACCCACATCCACACCGAGCCACAGAGACCCTAACGAACCCCACTGTGTCAGGAGGAGCACTAACGACCCACATAACGAGGGGGAGGAGCAACAAACCTCCAATTAAAACCCAAACTCAGGTGTTAACGTCTCCTTCAGGATATCAGGATGTGGAACTCCCAACCAGTCAGTCAGAGCTGATGAAGCCTCTTGGATGAAGGTGGAACGTCTTCAAGGAACTCCAGCAGGTCCAGCTGCTACCATTCATCTACCAGAACTAAAGTTCAGACTCAACGATAGCATGATGACGCACGTGGAGGTAAGTTGAATAAAAACCTAATTTAAATATAAACACTGCAGCACCTTTAATAATATTTATTCTTCTGATCTAGCAGGTCTGTAAATGTTCATGTTTTCCACCAGAACAGTTCTGCTTCTTGAACCAGTCACGAGTTCTTATTCTAAACAGTTTTAGTCATTTATTGGTTGTTGTCGTTAGCTGTTAATTAGTTTTAACCAACCACATGTTCATTAGTGTTAATTAGCTGTTAATTAGTGTCAGCTAACCCTTTATCACTAATATTTATTTTAGATCATTCATCTCTTATTAACGTTAACGGACCGCGGTTCTGTTCATCAGCAGCTATTACATCATTCCATCTGTTCATTAGTGATTAATTAGTCTGAGCTAAACGCTTATCTGTTAATTATCTCAATTAGCTGCTGATCAGTGTTAGCGAACCGTTTAACGACTGCTAGCGACGCATGCATCTCATTAAACCACGTAACTAACTAGCTGGTTCGTTAGTAGTTACTGGTTTCATGCAGCTGTTTGAGGCGTCAGCAGATCTTCTGAACCTGGACCCTCAAACATCTGAACATCTGAAGGACTCCACCAGGAAGCAGAACAGCCTGAACGTTGTGTTTCGTCTTTTATTGGTTTCCTCGTTACAGACGGTTGGCACAACAAACTCTACAGTAAATACAAAAGAAGGCGGTTCTTAGAGTCCAAACAAGGTTCTGAGCCTCAGACAGAACCAGGACAAACACTGATGAAGCTCCAGGAACGTCTCCAC